ACCGGCGAACGTGCAGCAACTTTAACTATGAGGTAAACACAAAACAAAACTTTCCATCCGGAGCTCCTTCACGGGACTCCACACTTGTAAACAATCGTTCGCGCCATTCGCGCGGCTCTCGGTCCCGCCCAGACTCGTCAGCGCTACCAAGCCGACCAATCACAGAGCTTACGCTATGCGTCGTTGCGACGTGTAGTTACATTTTTTGAGAGGTGCACGTCAGCGACGGCGACGGCCACGGCGAAGGGCTGTGCGTCAGCGCCGTAGCATACGCCGACGTTTGACGCAGAAGTATAAATCAGCCTTTACTCCCACCTCTGCTAAACGCACTGTTACTTTGCAATATATATATACACACACACTGAAGTCTAAAAGTCTAATCAAAGTTCTGAAAGGAGTCAAGATAAAAAGAAACGTCACAAAAATAACATGAGAATTATACTTTATTGTATTCAATGTTTAAGTTTACAGCTGAAGATTTGTGAAAAATCAAACATTGAAAAATATGATACTTGACAATTATAAAATGTAAACGTCGAGCGTACATTTCGCAAACTCTGAAACGACAAACTTAACATGAAATTTCTCTTTCTGTTTTTTTTGTTTTGTTTTTTGTTTTTTAAACACAACAGAAAACACCCAAACTGAAGCGTCGAACAACATATAAAAAGGCAAATAACTTCGGTTAAAAAGTCAAAATTCAATTTCATCCGTGCTGAGGTGTGTCATTTTATCCTACCATACGGGTTTTCAGCACTCAGACTGAGAGGTACAGTTGTTGTGTGAAGATTTCCTAAAATATAAAGTATCTTGAATCCATCATTTTCCATTCATAACAGCACTTGTGTGACATTCTTTGGATCCCCTAAATCCCCCTAGTTACATATTGATATATTCATGTTCGAAATAAAGTGAATTATTCACACAAACAGAGATTAGATTAAATAGGTTAGGATTGTCTTTGTCCTTCACCCCTAATAATAGAAGCGATCATCAAGAGGTTGACACAACACAGTTCAATAGCTTTTAAAAAAAACGTACAAACAAGTGGAAATGCACTGAATGCATCAGCGCTACAACAAAAGCTGGAGCTATTTAGATTCGAACCAAGCCAAAACTCAAAAGCACTCACATAAGGAAGGGTTACTGAGATACAAAAACAAAACACTTGCATCCTTGAGTCAGTGTGCCAAACGAAACATTTAGCATTAGCACTACAAAAGGGCTTTCATGCACTGTGACCACAGCACTAAGATGATGAACTTATCTGTATGACTAGAGGTAGAACTGCATTTCCTGAGTAGACAACAAATGCCTATTTTAACGTAAAACCTAGATTTCACAGCTGTCTATGTATTGAAAAATGAATGTCTTGATTTGTTTTAGTGTAACATTAAGTTCTGCACAGAGGAAAAAGCAAAACAATTACAACGACTAAGGCATCCTGCAATAATAGCGAGAGTTTATTGTCCAGCAATTTTGGTTGTCCTTGCAATAAAGCGGACTACATTTGCATGGTAGATTTTCGAAATTTGCATATTTAAAGGCATAAATCAGAGTAAAAACAGATCTGACATCCCACTTGTGGACACCAGCATCTTTAAAGCGGCGGTATGCACATCCGTCTTACTCTGTGTGGTAACAGTATTGTTTCCAAGAAAAAACAACAACATTAGAACGCGAAGCATAAGGCCATTATGATTAGAAGCTATTGTCACATGACAATGATCACTTAAAGGTTAAAGAGTTTGATTGTAAAAATCAATCAGCGATGAAAACGAGAGGAAAAACAGCATTGAAGAATAAGAGGATGATCCTAATGTGGCATTTTACAAAAATCAGATGTACATCAGTATTTACAGCCTTTGCCGTGAAGCTCTGAACTGAGCTCAGGTATGTTCTGTTTCCACTGGTCATTCTTGAGATGTTTCAGCAGCTTAATTGGAGTTCACCTGTGGTCAATTCAGCTGATTAGACCTGACTTGAAAAGGCATACACCTGTCTATATACGGTCCAAGGGTTGACAGTGCATGTCAAAGCACAAACCAAGCATGAAGACAAAGGAATTGTCTGTAGACCCCAGAGACAGTATTGTCTCGAGGCACAAGGCTGGGAAAGGCTACAGAAAAAAATCTGCTGCTCTGAAAGTTCCAATGAGCACAGCGGCCTCCATCATGCATTAGTGGAAGATGTTTGGAACCATCCAAGACTCTTCCTAGAGCTAGCCGCCATCTAAGCTGAGTGATCGGGGGAGAAGGGCCTTAGTCAGAGAGGTGATTAATAAGCCGATGGTCACTCTGTCTGAGCTCCAGTGTTCTTCTGTGGAGAGAGGAGAACCTTTCAGAAGGAAAACCATCTGTGCAGCAATCCACCAATCAGGCCTGTATGGTAGAGTGGCCAGACGGAAGACACTCCCTGCCTGGAATTTGCCAAAAGGCATCTGAAGGACTCTCAGACCATAAGAAACTAGATTCTCTGGTCTGATGAGACTAAGATTGAACTCTTTGGAGTGAATGCCAGGCGTTACGTTTGGAGAAAAGCAAGCAGCGCTCATCACCAGGCTAATACTATCCCTATGGTGGCAGCATCTTGCTGTGGGGATGTTTTTCAGCAGCAGGGACTGGAAGACTAGTCAGGATTGAGGGAAAGATGAATGCAGCAATGTACAGAGACATCCTGAATGAAAGCCTGCTTCAGAGTGCTCTTGACCTCAGACTGGGGCGACGGTTCATCTTCCAGCAGGACAATGACCCAAAGCACACCGCCAAAATATTAATAAAGTGGCTTCACAAAAACTCAGTGAATGTCCTTGAGTGGCCCAGCCAGAGCCCAGATCTAAATCCTATTGAACATCTCTGGAGAGATCTGAAAATGGCTCTACACCATCGCTTCCCACCCAACCTGATAGAGCTTGAGAGGTACTGCAAAGAGGAATGGGGAAAAAATTCCCAAAGACAGGTGTGCCAAGCTTGTGGCGTCATATTGAAAAAGACTTGAGGCTGTAATTGCTGCCAAAGGTGCATCAACAAAGTATTGAGCAAAGGCTGTGAAAACGTATGTACATGAGATTTGTCAGCTTTTTTATTGTTAATAAATTTGCAACAATTCCCAAAGAATCTTTTTTCACATTGTCATTATGGGGTATTGTGTGTAGAAGTATAAGGAAATAAATGAGTTTAATCCATTTTGGAGGCTGTAACATAAAAAAATGTGGAAACCGTGAAGCGCTATCAATACTTTCCAGATGCACTGTACATGTTGTCTCTTAGAGCTGGTAGATTCATGTAAAGTGGAGAAAAAACCCTGCATATGTTTCTTAGCTAGTAAATGTGTCTGAGGTAGAGGTTCTGGCAGTTAAGACCGAGGCTGTGTTATAATGAGGAGTCCTTAATATGTACAGTTACAATAAAGACCGAAACGGTAACAAGACTTCCTATGCTGCTTCTTGCACAGATCCGGGGTCCTTATAAATAAAGGATTGTATTCATTAGCGTAAAAAATTATAATAGGTGAGGTGGTAGGTTGACAGTGAAGGATCTGAGCTGTCAAAGCAATGGCCATGAGTTTAATCCGAAATAATGGAGCGAGGCTTAAGTGACATTGCTTTTCCAAAGCCTGGACCACCTCACCCGCTATGCCCAGCTAACTTGAAATGGCAATTATTCAGCTTTACATAAGGAAAGGAGGAGCTAGATGATCCGGTTTGTGTTTCTCAAAAGAAAAAAAATGATCCCTGGATGCCCTTAAAGTCAGTATTTGACCTTGAATACAGTGTGATGCTAGAAGAGCAAGTTTCAGCTACATGTTGATGAGGACAGGACAAGCTCACTGTTCTTACTCACTGATTTGAGAATTAAAAAAACTTAGAAGGATGTGATCTAATATCTCTAAACAACTGAATCCACATCCTTCAAATCCCTTTTCTTTCTGATCAAGACACTTCGCACTTTCGAAACATCCGGTTGTGATTAAAATGTTTGTGCTCTTGCATTTTGTGTTGAAAAAACAGAGTGCAAAGCATAACCAGAAACTGCCCTGTGTGATGAAGAAATGCAGCTTCATTGGACGCCACAATGACACTCAAAACTGCATCATAATAAACTGAAAGATCTGATGAAGGAACAACCAAATGTTTTCCAGATCTCTGATTAAACATGATTGTTTAGTTTGAATTTTAAAATGAATGTAATGTTATTATTCTCTCATTCTTGGTGTCAAATTTATTTAAGCACAAGCTTCACAAAAGTCCTAGAAGGGTAAGGCAACCACTGAACTCTTTCTACTTTAATGCAACTATGGGTCAAAAAGCATTTGCGGCCTGTGGAAGTTTCAGGTAATGCCGTTTGTACTCTGCCATGCCTCCATTTAGAGGCTAATGGTGAAAGTGGACTCTAGCTAGAGTTTGCCAGTAGTCAAAAAGAGGCAAACACAAAACAAAATAATTATGAACACATATATGCCTCCAAATGCATGTCAAAAAAACATTAACAAGAATGCTTACTGACCATCACAGTGCAGACCTGAGATGGAAAACCAAATGGTTGAATACTTGCAAAATATTTGAAAAATAAAACCCTCAGTCTGCACAATGTGTTGTGTTAGCGCTGAAGTTTAGACGTGTGCCTGCCGAAAGCACATTCAAACTGTGCTGAGAAAAAAAAAAAACCTTCACAAGGCACTGCAGATACATACACTGAGAAAATAAATCTACAATTATATATATTATTAGTTCAGACCCTTAAGCTGTTTGCATCACACATTATAACAATAACACTACTGTTGTGGTTTCGCTTGTAGATGAAAAGCGGTCATCTGTCAAAGATGATGAAACCTTCAAAAGCAGAATGCTGCCTTGTTAACGCCACAGTGTGCTCACAGAAAGAGAAATAAATTATTCACAGGTTTTGCATATGTATATATATATATATATATATATATATATATATATATATATATATATATATATATATATATATATATATATATATATATATGATTTATATTATCTTTATAATAAACTCTGTTGTTATTTCATATTTCTCCTGAATAAAGGAGAGTGTAAATAAAAGACCTGAGCTAGTGTACTTCAAGTTGAGAACGATCAAGTTATTCCTGCACTATTTTTTGGCATATCTTCTGTAGTTACTGAGGTTTTTTGGCTTTGGTTTGCATTGAGGGAGAGTCTGAGGTGTTAAGGCGACTGGTTGTTGGAGGAAGATGAGGTAGGTGTGTGGAGAACTGATTGAGGCCCGCTGTTGCCTGTAGATTTGTTAGATGCCCCCAACGAGGTCTGTGCCACAGACTGGGCGAAGAGGACGCCTGTTATGGAAAGACATGAAGACGGGTTACAAACGAAACATGGAGAAATTGAATGCTATCTAGATGGAGACAGGCTTCTCACCGGTGTAGACGACTCCATTAAGCTCCAGAGACATGCTGATGCTGTTCAGGCCATTGGTGGTCAGGTTCATGGCGGAGTCTGGTCTGCTTTCTGATGAGACAACAAAGAGTTTGGCTCAATTAGATATATGGTGATATTAAATAAATCATGATAATAATCAGGATGACATGCACAATATTGATTTCGTGGACACTTTTTTCAAAATACTGTGAATAATTATTTAATCTTATTTTTTGGGGGGAGTTTCAGATTGTTGCATTAAGCCTGGTTTATACTTCTGCGTTGAGGGATCGGCATGACCCTCTGCACCTGCCTTGCATGTAGTTGTGGAGTTGTCGATCACAAAGAGCGCCAATGTGATCGTGCACACCAATGTGCAAAACGCCAGGCGCAAAAGCGTCATTTTAAAAAAAACGCCTCATGCTCGTTTTTTTTTTATTTGATTCGCCGCGTCAAAACCTTCTCCACCAATCAGGTTGGCACTTTTGTTCACGTGCACGGAGCTGCTGAAGTTACAGTAAACTGCACTTGGAGCCGCTCAAGTGCAAAACTGTCAATGCAAGCGCACATTTAAGAAGATGCCCAGAGGCGATGAGAACGTTTAGCTGCTTATTGCTCTGGTGAACAATAGTTATTTCTATTTTCTTCATCTCTAAAGCTGGAGCTGCTACTTGAACCAACTATGCTTGTTCGAGTCACCAGTAACTTTAACAACAAGCGTGTGAACTTCCTCTCCTTCTCTTCTTCTGTGTTATAAGCGGGTGTTGGAAGCTTAAAGTTGCGCGGCGCCATCTAACGTCAAGGAGTGATTTTGCATTCTCTTCTGCTTGACGCCAGTGAAAATCGATTGGGTTTAAATCAAGCGGCAACCTCCCGCTCTCCCTCAGGAAGCCAATACGGAAGTAACTAAAACTGCAATTCATCCGAAATTCCGCTAGTCGTGGCCGCTCCTGGCTCCAAAACAGAGCAAATTTTAATTGAGCCCACTGTTAGAATGGCCAACTTTACAGCAGAAAAAAAGGGGTTTACAGCCTGGTACAAAAAAAGATTTTGGTTAATACAGCTAATATTACCCTTCATGACAACTGTGAGGGGGGTGAATTTTTTATAACTCATCCGTTTCTTTTATATTAAGTTATATTATGTTTGCATAATTAAGGGCGTGGCCACTTGAGTGACAGCTAGGTCTCGTTGGTCACCGTCACTTCACCTCAGCTGAATCCTGCAGATTAGCCACTGAACTCGGCATATTTATCGTATTTCTGTGTTGTTTTATGTGGCTTTACACAGTCAACTGCCTTTTGGACTTGTTTCCTACAATTATCAGATGGCATGGGATGCTGAGTGAACTTAATTGTGCTCACAAACCATTCACGTGGCCTCCGTTTCCCATGTGAGTAAAGTTATATATACCATCTTATATACTCATATACCATCTCTATACATGTATTTGTTTTATTTAAAGATCATTTATCGTTTTTATTTATATTTAGAGCTGTAATGCACTCCAGAATCTGACGTATTGATTAGCTGTAGGCTCTAGATCAGTCATCTGAAGCATTGTCATACAATGTTATGCTGGATTTCATCAATAGTCTAACATTAACTAACACAGACTATATCTGAAGTGTTTGGAAGTAATTCGCGTTTTCCTCCTGTTGAAAAACGTCATAAGAACAATGTTTAGTGGTTCAATGTATTACAGCCATAGACTGTAAAATATATGGACGTAGTATCCGTGACGTCACCCATAGGTTTCTAAAGAGCGCAAATGAAGCCACAAGTAGGCGCGGCCAACCGTCGCCATTTTGTTCGCGCGTCATCACACCCACGGCGGGATACCAAACATGGGCAAAGAGGCGGAGAGTGAGCGGAGCTACAGACGCATGCTGCATTTAGCTTGGACCTGGTTCAGACACCTGGTTTACTTTGGGAGAACGCTTAATATTTTATCACCTGTGACTCGTTTGTATTCTGACCACTTGTGCTTGGTTGTATACTATATCAATAAAGTGTTTAGTCTTTTAAAAACACTGCTGTAATACATTGAGCCACTAAACATTGTTCTTATGACGTTTCTCAACAGGAGGAAAACGCAAATTACTTCCAAACACTTCAGATATAGTCTGTATTAGTAAATGTAAGACTATTGATGAAATCCAACATAACACTGTATGACAACACTTCAGATGACTGTTCTAGAGCCCACAGCTAATCAATCTGACAGATTCTGGAGTGCATTACAGCTCTAAATATAAATATAAACGATAAATGATCTTAAATAAAACAAATACATGTATAGAGATGGTATATAAGTATATAACTTTACTCACATGGGAAACGGAGGCCACGTGAATGGTTTGTGAGCACAATTAAGTGCACTCAGCATGCCATTCCATCAAATAATTGTAGGAAACAAGTCCAAAAGGCAGTTGACTGTGTAAAGCCACATAAAACAACACAGAAATACGATAAATATGCCGAGTTCAGTGGCTAATCTGCAGGATTCAGCTGAGGTGACGTGACGGCGACCAACGAGACCTAGCTGTCACTCAAGTGGCCACGCCCTTAATTATGCAAACTTAATATAACTTAATATAAAAGAAACGGATGAGTTATAAAAAATTCACCCCCCTCACAGTTGTCATGAAGGGTAATATTACCTGTATTAACCAAAACCTTTTTTTGTACCAGGCTGTAAACACCTTTTTTTCTGCTGTAAAGTTGGCCATTCTAACAGTGGGCTCAATTGAAATTTGCTCTGTTTTGGAGCCAGGAGCGGCCAGGACTAGCGGAATTTCGGATGAATTGCAGTTTTAGTTACTTCCGTATTGGCTTCCTGAGGGAGAGCGGGAGGTTGCCGCTTGATTACAGCAGTGTTTTTAAAAGTCTAAACACTTTATTAATATAGTGTACAACAAAGCACAAGTGGTCAGAACACAAACGAGTCACAGGTGATAAAGTATTAAGCGTTCTCCCAAAGTAAAGTGTGTCTGAACCAGGTCCAAGCAAACTGTCTGCAGCACGCGTCTGTAGCTCCGCTCACTCTCCGCCTCTTTGCCCTTGTTTGGTATCCCGCCGTGGGTGTGATGACGCGCGAACAAAATGGCGACGGTTGGCCGCGCCTACTTGTGGCTTCTTTTGCGCTCTTTAGAGACCTATGGGTGACGTCACGGATACTACGTCCATATATTTTACAGTCTATGGTTTAAATGCGGAAAAACATCTCGTAAAACGCTGATGATAAACACAAACGAAAAGCGTCCCGGTGCGTAGGAGCCTTTAGGATAAAAACCTAAAAGGGGCGGTTTCAAAGAGTTATAAAACATTATTTTTGGGGTATTTTAAGCTTAAACTTATTTTACAGAGACTTATTTTACATCTTGTAGAAAGGGGCATAATAGATCCCCTATAAGGCAATTATAAAAAATGCCCCTGGAAATCAATTCCAAGAGGCAAATACATATTAATGGAAGATTATCACATGGTATTTACAGCGCTTCACTTTTCCACATTCGGTTAAATGCACACATGTAATTACTAATCACCTGTTCGCATTCAGATTCAGAGTAATCTGAAGGCACGCTGGCTTACAGCAGGGGGCGCCGCCACAGCTATTTTCACAACGTTAAAAACAAAGCAGTCCACGAGCAGCGGCACGGCTCATTTATTAGGTTAATTATTCGTCTTACAATAAACCATGTAAAGTGAAACTTGTAGTATTTAACACCTCTAACCAAGAAAAGGAAGTCACGCTGTGCTGAGCCAGGGAATCCCCTCAAAAAAGATTTATTTGCCTTTGTCTTTTTCACTTTGCGGTCTAAAGCAGGTCAACACCTCCAAGTCTTCTAATGAATCAGCTCATTCACGCCACCATCCTTTAAAGTAAATACATCAATGCAATTCTGATAAGATCTAACCAGTGTACTTTAAACATCCTCTTTCTTCATTCATCAGAACAGCTTCTAGTAAGAACAGTACTAGAATTGTCACCGTGGGACAATGAGAGCTGTGATGACTCACCCCTGCTGAAATCTCCACCTCACACTACTGATCTGTAAACTGATCATGCATTTACCACATGCCAGTAAGCTGTGGTAATATTTTCACAGTCTTTCCTGCAAAATAGTTAGCACCAGCGAATGGTGATGTAAGAGGGGTTTTGTAGTAATGCACAAGAAAACACACTGAATTCATTTCATAACCTCAGGAACCCGAAAGCTGGATATTCCACGGACGGGTTTTGCTGAAACATCACAGATTTTATTCAGGGTGTTTTTTTCTCAGCTTGGTGTTTATGGGAAATGATTAAACCACCGTGGGAACGCAAATAACTCAATAGCACAAGTGGTAGACTAATGATTGAGCTGCACAAAAAACTCTTAATTGTACAATGTATAGGACTATATATGATTGTGCACTTTATTAGTAATTTATAATCAAATTTTCTCCAATAATGTTTCATTACAACTTAAAACAACTCTGTTTTTACAGTGTAAATTTTAGATCTATCTATCTATCTATCTATCTATCTATCTATCTATCTATCTATCTATCTATCGATCGATCGGTTGCGGCTGGAAGGGCATCCGCTGCGTAATGTGCTGGATAAGTTGGCGGTTCATTACGCTGTGGCGACCCCGGATTAATAAAGGGACTAAGCCGACAAGAAAATGAATGAATGAATGAATGGTTGTTGGACTAGCTGCAAAAAGGTGCTACAATATTTGAAATCAAACCATAAACTATAATAATTTTTTTAATTCAAAAACTTTCAAGTACCAACGTGGTTTTTTAAATACTTTCCAGGTGTAAATTCAAGTACTTTTAAGTACTTTCAAGTGTGGAAACCCTGGTTCAACAGAAAAAAAACTCATTCAAATTCAGTCAAATTTAAGACCTTTTAATGTCTTGTTAAGACCATGAAGAATTAAATTTCAGACGCATATACACTCTCAGAAAAAAAAAAAGTATGCGAGCTGTTACTGGGGTGGTACATATTTAAAAGGTACAAGTTTGTACCTAAAAGGTCCATATTAATACCTCAAGGGTACATATTAGCACCTAAAAAGTACAAAAGTTCCTCTTGAAATTTTTAGGTGCAGATATATACTTTTGAGGTACCAACATAGACCCTTTAAGTACAAGTGTGTACCTTTGAAAAGGTACCACCCCAGTGACAGCTTGCATACCTTTATTTCTAATAAGTGTAGGGTTAAACGCTAAAGACTATTCAATGGCCTTTAAGGGAAAAAATTTACTTGCCCTACCAAACTTTAATTAGTTATTTCTTAACCAAATATTTTAATTATTGTGTCAAAAGAAGCAGACCTGAGCTATATGCATGTATTCATAACAATTCTAATAACATATTCATAACAAATAACTAATAACATAAAAAACTCTTTAAAAACTAAATGTCTGCACAACAGACTGTTCTAAAAGTTTTATTCAGAAGTATTTGTTGATTGGATGTGTGTTGGATTGATTGAGTAGCTTTACCTACAGTTTAAATGAAAACTAAGACCTGTTTAAAATGATTTTAGACCTACAAGACAGATTCAGTAAATTTAAGGCCTAAAAAATAGAATTGAAACTTAAGACATTAAGACTTTTTAAGACCCTAAGGACACCTTGTAAATAGTGAGTACATTTTCATTTTGAGCGAACTATCCCTATCAGTCCAGAAACCAACTGACACATCGGTTTATCCCCTGTGTGGAGCCCAGAATATTAAAGGGTCAAGAAACCCCCTCTGTCAGTTCAAGTCTACATCCGAATTTTTTTGTTTAACATTCTCTAAGATGGGCGTGGAGCTCTGCAAGCAGAGGGGGCAGCAGAAAAGAGGGGAGCAAACAACTGAGTTAGCTCACAAAATGAGACACAAACCATGAGGAGAGCCATGATTTTATAGTTTACAAAGTTAAAATGCAAATAAATAAACAACATGTACTTTAATGTCCTGCTACATTTTTTATTCGTAATTTTATATACACATAACCACAGTTTGTTTTATCATTATAGAGATAATCGTGTTTATAAAACACTATAAATGAGGAGGACTTCTCTCCTCCTCAATCCCCGGGTCTGAATGCAGACACAGTGGAGAGCAGTGCAGCAGGTCTCCTGCCCTGTCTATTCCAACCATTAGCCTTGCTGGTAATCAAGAGGATTTTAAACATAGGCGAACAGCAGCACAGATATAGGCGATGTGTCTGAATGGTAACAAACTCAACTGATAAAGGACGAAGCCCGCCATTCTCTAATTCTTGTACAGCTCTTCTGAGATGTTTGTGATATTGACCCTGACAGTTTTGCAGAGAAAAACATGCAACAAACCCCGTGGATCATGGAAACATACACCAACGACCTGTGGCATGCGCAGACGCGGTCTCACCCAGTCATTGGGTCTCACAATTTGGCAGGTCTTCAGAAAGCATGTGGTCTCGTGAATAATTAAGAAGCAGGCTCTTCTCGTAGGATAAGAAAACTCGGCTATGAATAATAATGAGAAACCTTTGCACTTGCAGATTCACGCTACGTCACAGATTTTGATCCCATCCCAAAAATTATTTTAACCCCAAAAGATGAAATTAGCAGACAAAAGCTCAACATTATCCAGTTTTTCCTCTCAATTAAAGCAAACAGATGGTAATGTTGTCTTAAAATACGCTCAACACACATAAATCTGTTCAAATAAAATTTAAAAAAGTACTGCAGGGTGTCTTGAACCTTTAAAGTGTCACTACCTTGATTGTTGATGCGGATGTTCATGGGGATTTGTGCGGTCATGGCCATCAGATTGTGCTGCAAGGCTCTCTGCAGTAACCGCTGGTGTTCCTCCAGTGGTAGTGCAATTTTTTTCCGAGGGGGTTCGCCGGTCTCCAGGTTATCCCGCAGCTGCTCCAGAGCAGCTACCTGTGCGATGGTGGCCGCTTGTGCAGCCGCGGCCTGTGCTGCAGCTACTGAATGTGTGGCCAGAGATGCAGGCAGGCGCGTCTGAAACCCGTCATCCTCTACAACAAAAAAAGAAATTGAAAGAGAAAACGCATTTAAATAAACCAAACTAAATGTGGACATCAAAGAGCGTGTGTACATGTTTTCCAAATCAAAGAGATTTCTGTGTGTAGACCTTTTAAAAGTACTCAAGAGTAATGCGTAGTGAGTATTACGCTGTGAAAAGCTGATGCTGATGTAATTTGTGGATGTGTGTAAACGTAACATTCGGTAGTGCATTTAGTTATTGCCCAGCAGGCACACAAGGTCATAAGATGTTTATATTAGGTTAGATTTAGGTTGTGATGTCAGGTGACCAAAAGTCAATGTCTAACCAGCGTCTAAGGACAATGTTATTTTGATGTCCAATAACGACGTCAAATAATGTTGATATATGGTTGATTTTAGGTTGTGTTACAAAGTGACCAAAACCCAACATCGAGCAAACATCTTAAACCAACGTCATATTATACTGTGAAATGTTGATGTGTTTACATGCAGTTTGTGCAGCGATGTGTAAACGTAACATTCCGTTGTGCATTCAGTGATCTTCCTATATTCGCTTGTTCCTTCCAACCTTCCTTCTATTGTTTGTTTGTCTTGTCCTTCCTTCATTCATTTGTTTGCTTGTTCGTTCCTCCCTTCATTCGTTTGCTCATTTATTCATTTGTTTGTTCGTTCATATTTTTGTTCCTTCCTTCATTAGGTCCTTTTGTTCATTCATTCATGCATTCGTTCGTTCCTTCTTTAGTTTGTTTAGTCCTTCTTTGAATCCTTCCTTCCTTCATTCATTCGTTCTTTCTTTCCTTCCTTAGTTTGTTCAGTCCTTCTTTGAATCCTTCCTTCCTTCATTCATTCGTTCCTTCTTTCCTTCCTTAGTTTGTTCAGTCCTTCCTCCATTCATTTGTTCCTTCCTTCCTTAATTAGTTCGGTCCTTCCTTTGTTCGGTCATTCCTTCCATTCCTTGTTTGTTCCTTCCTTCATTCAGCCCTTCCTTCCGTTCTTCATTTGTTCCATTTAGTGATTGTTTAAAGCTGTTTGGTGATCTCAGTCATCATACAGTCGACATCCGTCATTTTCTCATCTGTGACATGCAGTCTATGAAATGTCTTTGGGTCATTGCGTGTAAAAATTTTGGACATCTTATTGGACATTTTTAATGCTTCAAAAAGTTTTCTGCATTTATAAATCGCCCGTGTCTTGAGGTTTGATTTGATTGCGATTTTATTGGACAGGAATCACAGGATTGACTTTTCTAATCCCCATAGACAAGAAAAAATAAAGCAGTGACTGTACAGGGCTCGAAATTGCGACCATTTTGGTCGCATATGCGCCCGAAAATTAATCTATGCGACCTCATAATATACATGGGAGCTTTAGTGCGACTGCAGATAATGGTTGTAGTGCGACCTGTTTTGATTTTTTCTAAAAACGTGCTGAATCGCTCTTCCCTGCCGCTATATTGGTTTATATAAGCCATCAATCACGCAAGGTATTCCGCTGTCAGATGACAGGGAAGGAGCTTTTATGACCACGGGAAATACAAACGGCTGAAGAGTGAAAACTTAAAGCACGCAGGTTTGCAAACCCCACCTAAAGTTGAGGCGCAGATAAGAGCGATCATGACGTGGTGAATATTGATCCGCCAGCTGAGATCAATCGAGTACGTGCTTTTCGGAGAAAGCGCTCGAATCTCGATGCGTTGCATTCACTGCGTGTTCAGCGCAAATGTCCGCTAAAAGTCAAATCTAATACTGTACATATCATCATCAAAGGAGCTCGCCTTTACTAAGTTTACACTGAAACTGCGGCTCATAACAAACAGCGGTATTGCGCCGGTGCTCAACCTGCTCAAAAATTGGGTCGGCTGACTCGCCTGATTTTCCACAAACACAGAAAAATGAAAATCAGCTCAGACTGAACATTTAAATTGACACAAACTGAAACCAAAACTTTTAAAGAGTGATAGAAGTGAGACTTTACTTACTTTCTTTTGTCTATTCTTTCTTGAGGTGTATATTTTTATTTAGTTACTGATGACTGTTTTGCAGCTTTCAGCCTTGAATTTAATTATTTATTATAATCTTTTGTTTGTTTTGTAGCAGAAATATTATTTATTAAACTGACATGCATATATAACAGCAGTACAAAATAAATATTTCTTACTGCAATGCTTCATTTTTGTTTGATGCAAACTATACATTTGTTTTTCATAAAGTAACAGACTTTTTATAGCAGAAAACTTGCATTCAAGCACATTCAAGGCAGCATGATGACGAGAAATGTAATTCATTGTTACTATTATTGTCATTTTCATCATCATTAAATATTTTATATTTATTCGACATTAATTTTGGAATTATTGCACACAAATATCAATGTCATCACAGCATTAGTTAGATAGTTGTTTCTGGTTTTTGTTAGTCCTAATTGATGTTGTTTTAAAATACAATAAATCCCTTAAAATACAATTTGCAGTGGTGCTTAATCATTTTTGGTGGGTGCTCCTAAATTTTTTCTGGTGCTCCTAAATTTTTGAAGTTAGGAGCACCGGTGCTACCAAGTAAAAAAGTTAATTTCGAGCCCTGCTGTAGGTTGAGGGAAAGTAAGGGATGGAGTAAAAGTACCGATACAGCACTAAAAATATAACCAAGGCCAAATAAAAGTACATCTATTTAAAACTACTTAGTAAATAACAATTCCTGAAAAAAACTACTCAATTACAGGCATTTGAGAATTTGTAATTAGTTACTTTACACCACTGGATGTAGTAAAGTACGTATTTTATTCAGAGGGATTGGGAAATGGGTTATATGGAGAGTTATTACAACCTAACAAAAATGTCCTCCTCATCATTACTATTTGCTGTCAAAACTGACAGCTGGAGGGGCGTGGTTAAGCATGTTAGCCACGCCCAAAACCTCACGCAAACGTAATCTCAGAATTTAACTGAAAACAAACAGAAAGTGCATTTTCAGATTTTAATTTTAAGGTGCTTTCGCATCTAGACTTTTGTTTTGGAACCTGTCTCGTTTGCTGAGTTAGCGCAGTTCGTTTGATATATGTGAATCCAGCAATCGCGCTCGGATCCGGGCCAAAACAATCGCTCCGAGATCGCCTGAATGAGGTGGTCTCGGCTCGATTGAAACGAACCCTGGAGCGGATCGATTGTAGTGAGAAAGCGATACGATCCGAGCCCGGTTATATCACAGTGTATTATGGATAGGTAATAGGCATACGGCTATATGAAGAGAGAATTATAAGTAGGGCAGGAGCTCATTCCAGACATCCCATGTCTCCTGGAAGTTTTGGGAGTCTCCCGCAAATGCACAAAGACTCCCGGATGCCCACAAATCAGTGATAATCCCCCGGAAATCGCACGTCTCCCTCCCAGTCCTTGAATATGTCACGCACCCTTCTCACCCTTCCCCACCGCATCCCTCCTGGTTCTTCAGACACGTCGCGTGCACCCTGTCAAACACCACCAAACCACCACCTTCCCTGACAGCTGAGCAGGACTGCAAAATAAACCCTGATACTCTGACCAATGTGAGGAGAGTTTACTCGCACGTTACTTGTTGTAGCTCTTTTGGTCCATTTAGAAACTTTGCCGTGTGGAAGCCACCAAGAACAAAGAGAAACAATGTAACAATTTGAATCCCTGTTTCAGAACAACTGAATTGATTCACAGGTGTGAAAGCACCCTCAGATTACAAGGGCAAACTTTTTTTTTCCTTAATGACATGCACAGATTATTCACCACAAAACTAGCAATGTAAGCTAACAAAATTATATGGCGAGTTTGGATTTCATCTGTACTTTAAGCAGGATTTACCTTTTTTAATGTTTTGTATGGATGAGATGGAGGCTCCGTTGCTGGGCAGGGCAATGCCCATTGATGACATGGTGCGTTTGGGTGAGGAGAGCATGGTGGGCGTCCCATTGGGCGAGTAGGTGAAGAGCGAGTTGCCAAAACCTTGCCTACGTCCTTCTCGCCGGTTGCTGTCGATGGCCGCCTTCAGCTCGTTGGGGTTGCTGAGAGCCCTCTTCTCACATTCGTAAGTATACAGATACTTCATATATCTGTAAAGCAGTAGAAAATAAAAAAAAACATGCAATTAGTTTCTCGCAAATTAATGATCCAATCTACCCTTTCTGGCCCTGCAGTAATGATAATCAATAATCAGAGAGCACATGTTTACTGTACTGTTTTTTACTACTGCATATACTTCAGCTTGCATGTGCATCATAAATGATCTTCTGCACAGAACAGTTAAACGCTGATCAAGCGCAAGAATTAAGAAACACTTGAAATTTTGGTTAAAGAATTAGTTCACTTAAATTCCAGTTAGGTTATAAATTACTCAGCTCATTCATTCATTCATTTTCTTTTCGGCTTAGTCCCTTTATTAATCTGGGGTTGTCACAGCGGAATGAACTGACAACTTATCCAGCATATGTTTTACATAGTGGATGCCCTTCCAGCTGCAACCCATCATTCACACTCATACAATACGGACAATTTAGCTTACCCAATTCACCTGTACCGCATGTTTTTGGACTGTGGGGGAAACCGGAGCACCCGGAGGAAACCCACACAAATGCAGAGAGAACATGCAAACTCCACACAGAAACGCCAACTGACCCAGCCGAGGCTCGAACCAGCGACCTTCTTGCTGTGAGGTGACAGCACTACCTACTTCGCCACTTGGTTGCCTATAACTCATCTCAGGTTGTTCAAAATTACCTTTTAGCTAATGGTGTCAGAAGAAGCTTATATGATAGGTAAAGGCCTCTAGATTACGGTTATTTGACCAAAATAAAATATGAACATGCCTTGATTTTTAATGATTTAATTAGGACAGTAAGGTCTGACTTTGCTTTAAACAAGAATCTTGTCTATTAACAAAAATAATGCACAGTATAGAATATATTTTTTTATATTTATGTCTGGGCTCTGGCTGGGCCACTCCATTGATATTTTGGTGGTGTGCTTTGGGTCATTGTCCTGCTGGAAGATGAATCGTCGCCCCAGTCTGAAGTCAAGAGCACTCTGAAGCTTGTTTTCATTCAGGTTGTCTCTGTACATTGCTGCATTTATTTTTCCCTCTATCCTGACTAGTCTTCCAGTTCCTGCTGCTGAAAAATATCCTCACAGCATGATGCTGCCACCACCATGCTTCACTATAGGGATGGTATTAGCTTGGTGATAAAAATCGCTTGGATTTGAATGAGGAAAAATATCTCGTAAAATGCTGACGATAAACGCAAACGAAAAGCGTCCCGGTGTGTACGAGCCTTCACTTCATATTTTAATATTATATGTTGTTATTCTGGTACCATAAACCGACATATTAACCAATTGGTAGAGGCTGATATTTTAGAAATTATGGGATGTGTTGAAACATAATGCATCGAGTGCGTTAACTAGGGGAATTAGGAGTTACGAAATGCAATCCAAACACTTTTTTCTTGGTGGGGTAGTTAAAGGGTTAACGCTTTTCGTTGATTTCTTCGAAAACGAAGACCATATGGATGCCAGCCCTCTATGTGTGCAAGTAAACATCAGGTGTTAAGAGTACGTACTGTGTTCTGAGAGTGAAGGCAGCACTGGTGATGGAGGTCGGCAAGTTCAAGCCCTTGGTGATCTCCCTCCACAACTTTTTATTTATGACCTCCACCAGCCCCCCCTTTTCTGTCACCAGCTGGTAGAGCATGTAGAGGTCCAGCACCTGCTTGGCCATGATGGGAATCCTGTTCACTGGGGTCCCTGCACAAAAACAAACAGCTGCATTGAGCGGTTTATATGCTAGAAATGAAAGAAACTCCCATATTATTTTAGGAAAACTTTAGGCTTTTCTCTTGGCGACAGGTTGTCATAAATACGCATTTGTGCTATAAATAATCATGGCTAATAAAATTAATCACTTTCCTTCGGCTTAGTCCCTGTTTGTTAGTGGTCACCACAGCGGAATGAACCAGCGGCTAATAAAATTTCCCAAACATCAATACGATCATCAGGAGATGGTTTAACTGGAGTTAGAGAACATTTAGCCAGTACAGCAGGTTTTAATGTGTTTAGATGGGAACATGCTTCAACACTTCCAAGGCCAGCTCATGATACGTACATGTGTTCACACTCCCAAGTATAAATGCGTATCAATGTGGGTGCCACAGCCCTGCTTCAGTGTGATACACACAGAGGACACTGCAGCGCTTTTATATAAATACATCCCTGTGGAGATGTGAAAGATGAGCTGGGTGTTGATGGAAGTGCATAAGGTGCAGAGGGTCTGTTCTTAAAGGGCTCAATAAAACGCCATATAAAGAGGTTTTTTGGCTGTGAAAATGTCATTTCTTTGGTCACACATACCTTTCTTCTGCATAAAACTGAATAGATCATCCAGAAACTCCTTCCTTTTAGGGTCACTGTCCAGTTCATAGAGCTGCATATGAAAAACACAAAGGCAGACAGGAAATAAGGGGGTTAAAGGAGGACTGGATTTAAATGTGCCATCATTCTTAAAGGGTTAGTTCATGCAAATATGAAAATTCTGTGATTAATTACTCACCTTCATGACCTTTGTTTATCTTTGAACACAAATTAACTTAAGTTTAAAGCAGAGGTCGCGTTAGACTTTCTCATTGTCCATCATTTTGACGGAGAGGGTTGTAAAAAATTCTGTCACAACCTATTAAGTTATTGATCGTTATTTAATATGCAGACTTTCTAATCGCTGTTTTCATTCATATTTTAATAATGAACTTGCATGACGAGCATATGGGCTAAATTATTAATTTATTTATTTAACAAATGAACAAAAACTCCTATCTGTCTTAACTCATATCTTCCTCCTGCGTCGACCTGAACTGGGTGCTTGCCTGTGCCTAATCAAACACATCAAGGGAGACTGATGCAGAGGCAGTTGTCATTAAATTCTGTGTCTTTGCCTCGGATAGTCGACCTTTCGTGACCAAAGACTGGAATTACTAGCGTCACTTCGGCCAGCGTTTTGTAGATAGGAAACATTTCTCTTAAAGCTGTGATCATAACTAAGGTTGCTGGATTCTCTGAATGTGGAATTTCCTGATCCTGCAAGCACGCGCTGCTTTTGCACCCCTCTACGTTCGGGTAGTGCTCATAACGCACTCCAAAGCACCTGACCTCCTTGCTGCCGTTTGGTTGGCTCGTAACAGCTGTCGGCAACTGAGGATTTTTGTCTGTTTGTTCTTCATCATCCACAGCATCACTTCCTCTTTTTTCACCTTTATTATTATCACCTCCTCAATATCTCACTGAACTTCTCCAGATCTACACCCCTTCTCGTACCCTTAGATCAGCCAACAACTTCACCCTGGTACCACCTCGCTATCGATTGGGCACAATGGGAGACAGATCTTTTAGCTTTATGGCTCCTCGGCTATGGAACTCACTTCCACTAGATCTTAGGAGCAGTGATAGTCTTCACAATTTTAAATCACGTCTAAAGACCCATCTTTTTAAGCAGGCTTTTACTTAACAAGCTTTTTTATTATTATCATATTCGCTATTGTGTTTTAACTTGTTTGGTCAATGATTGTTTTTAGTAATGTTTAATTTGTTTAGCATGTCTGCTGATGCTTATTGTAAGGCGACCTTGGGTGTCTAGAAAGGCGCCATTTACAAATAAAATGAATTATTATTATTATTATCACAACTATTTGCCCGTTTAAAGAAACTTCTCACACTCAGCTGCTGTGAGATTTTTGCAACTGTACGCAGCGGTGACAAAGAGGAGACAAAACAAGGACAATCGCCATCAGCTGGACAGGATTGGAAATTACAATTAGCTACAAATTACACAGATTAATTAGCTACAAATTAAACAGATCCCCCTCAGCATAATCAAAATGACGAATCACCTTCAGATTTTTCCGTCACTGCTGAAAAAAAAATCTGTCAATGACGGAAAATATTCGGTTAATGCGACCTCTGGTTTAAAGTCTAGAGAAATTAAGATACGTTCAAAGATTGTTCCAGAAAAGGCACACACACACAGACACACACACAAAAAAAAAGTCAAAACTTTCCATGTGACTAATAATAAAAAGCTACAAAAAAACTTTTGTGTGCCAGAAAACTTAAAACTACTTTATTCACCTTTGTCTTTTGTCACCAATCTACTATATAAAGTACAATGTTATGTAACAAGATTGACTGAAGAAACACCCATGTCTGCTGCTTTAACTGAAGCTTTTTATCGTTGTCAGTTTAGTTTAACAACTAGTTCACCCAAAAAATTAACACTTACTATTTACTCAACCTCAAGTGGTTTCAAACCAAGAGTTTCTTTTACTGTTGAACACAAAAGAAGTTTCGAAAAACAAATACTATGGAAATCAACATGATTTCAACATTTCTCAAAATAACGTATTCTGTGTTCAGGAGAAGAACAAACTCAAACAGGTTCATGACAAATGAAGGTTGAGTAAATGATGACAGAATCTTACATTTAGGTGAACTATTTCTTTAAACCAGGGGTCACCAAACTTGTTTCTGGAGGGCCGGTGTCCTGCAGATTTTAGCTCCAACCCTATTCAAACACGCCTGAACAAGCTAATCAAGGTCTTACTAGGTATACTTGAAACATCCAGGCAGGTGTGTTGAGGCAAATGGCCCTCCAGGACCAGGATTGGTGACCACTGCTTTAATCTGTCAAAAATAGTTGTCATTAGGTGTATGCTTACTTTTTTATGCTTTATTTTTAATTTGTTTTTGTTTTTTCTAAGGAAGAAAAAGGAAAAAAAATTTCAAATAATAATAATAATAAAAAATACAGTAACACATCGGAACCTAAATGAACAGTCGACTGCTCACATATTTCCTTACAGGTCATATTAACAAATAAGTACAGTGCTCAGCATAATTAAGTACAGCCCATTTTGCAAATGAATATTTTCTTCCATTTCTCAGTGAATATAGGCAATGTGTTTTGGTGCATTTAAACAAAACAGATTTCATAAACAGATATATTTATTAAAACAATGTTTTAGTCACCAAAAATATTTAGAAACTTAAAGATAATACAATTAAATTCAAGCAAAATATTGAAAAAAATATTACAACCTCCAAAATATTTAATAAAACTTCTCTTGATTTTTTCTCTTTTTTAAATTTGTATTTTATATTTTCTATAACATATAAACAAGGGTGTACAAGGTTTTGGCCTGTTATTGTAAGTTAATCTAATCTATAAATGCACAAATATAATATTGTATAGCTTCCTATTAAAATGTGAATTTAAAAGAGAGATTTGTGAGGGGTGTACTTCGATATTCTGAGCCCTGTATAAGGATCAGTTTACACTGTGGAAAGGCATAAGCACAGACCATTTCTCCGATTATGCCAGGTATTTGTCCGTTTATAGTTTTAAAGAGAAAGTCATCCTCTCCATATTTTGAACATTAGATTCAACATCCAACCATTCAGATTTTTGTAGGGGGTTCGAGTTGTAGCCACTTTGGAGTAACAGTTTTCTTGTCTCACTCAGACTCAGACTGGGTATTTATTTATTAATAAATACTTGTCTTTTATCATTAAGTTGGCAGCAATATTCCTCATGTAAATTGTTGTGAAAGAGACGTCCAGTCCATCCCCAAAAATATATTTAGTATTACTTGCATTATGTCCTGTCAATATGACTGGGCAACTCCAAAATATGTGAAAATGGTTTGCTAATAGTAAGCTTACTTTTTGACAGACAAGCAGAAGTACACCAATCAATTGAATTC